ACCTTTATGTCTCTGTGTGATGAAGGACTGTTCAGAGTACTGCTGTTATCATTCAGCTGTGGTCCTGCTTGTTTTATTCATTTTGGAACCAGTTAAGCAGCACAGCTGGGATCATTTTGCTTTCTTTCTCCTTGCTTATCAGCCATATTAATATAAAGCAAGCCAGGAGTTTCATTTACCACTATTTTTAAAGAAGAAATAGGCTACAAATAGGAATGGATTTTATTTGCTTGAATTTGTTATTTTATAATAATATAATTTATTTGTATTTTTGGGGGGTTTTGTTTTATACTTCTGAATACCAGAATTTGATCATCTGATTATCTAAGTTTTAACATTAAATCAAAGTTACCGGTACCAGCCAACACTTACTTAGTACCTGAGAAGGCATTTTACCAATTACTGTTTAACTCTTACTTTAGTAAACTTTTGGAAGACTACTTTCTGATTTTATTTGGTTTATAAAATATTAAAGTAGTGCTACTGTCAAGCAAAATGATGGATACTCCTCTACTCCACCTCTATGCATACCTTTGCATACCAACCCACTTAAAGATCTGGATGTAGGGTGTAAAGTTAGCAATAAAAATAAAAAACTAAAAATTGAAAAAAAAAAAAAAAAAACAAGCTAAGCATTGTGTTTTATTCCTTAAAAACCAAGACCCTAAAAGAGGAAGCAGTTATTACTTTACCTGCTGTTGATAACGTTAATAGCATTTTTTATTTACTTTAAACCCAGGTCAGCTGGTTACAGAAGTTTGAGCTAACTTTAAGTCAAACCATCCTAAAGGAAACCTCAGAAGCCCATAAATGCAGAGGTTTCGGCATTTGTTATTTCCTGAGCATACATTACGTTGTGATGTTTGGATTGGATAGTTGTTTACAGAGAAGGGTTTGCATTTGGGTTTTGGCGGGGGGGTGAACCACCAATGATCTTCCTGTCAGAAACACGTACTGTAAAGGGAACATTTTTCATGTCTGTAGTTGCAATAAAAACAGAAAATATAACTTTTGTTTCAAAAACTAAAAGCAATACTTTGGATTTTTATTTGTTTTAATTGTTTCATACAGGAAGATCGTTGATGGCGAATTGCGTCAAACCTCTGTTTCCTGTCTTAATAATCATGGATAGATTTAGTCTTATTTCTTCTCCTTATGAAGCAGCCCTGCCCCCAAAAAATAATCAGAAAGGAAATCCAGCAAATACACACTGCAAGTCTTAGATACTTTGATATCATGGCAGCGTCTGTGGTGGCAGGCAGGCTGAGGATGGAGGATGTCAATAAACTTGAAAATCAAAAGCAGCTTCCTTTTATCGTTTAACCATCTGCCATAAAAACAAATTTTATTTGACATTTTTTCTGATCCTAAAATTGCATTGACTCTCATTGAAACTATAGTTTCTGCTTTCCCACATAAGGAAGCTGGGTTTAAAAAGCTCGACATCTGAATCCATCAACTGGATTCTGTGTGAACCACCTCCTAATACATGACAAAGGTTCAAAGAGTCATACAGAAGCTTTTAATTAGACCCAATGTTTTTAAGACTGGAGTGAGGACAGATGAAGCCCATTTTTATACTGAATGTTAAGAGATATGTATTGCAGTTAAGGTATGAGCTGCGTATAACCTTTTGAAAATACTTCATATAAAAAACTCCTCAACTACTCCTTTAGGATCTTGCCTTTTAAGAACTTCAGCATCTCCCCCTCTTCATGTGGTTCATTTTCATACTTTTCTTAAAAGAGTATGCCCACTGGGAGTGGCTGGAATGAGAACTGTGATGACATTTAAAACACCAAATGCACCCATGAGAGTTTTCTGGTGTTATTCTGCGATATATTTACAAGCTAAGTAATATGTGAAGCCAACTGTAGAGCCCTAGTGGAAACTAAATTCTATGATGGAAACTACGTGGATGCCAAATGGCCTCTTCTAAAAGCAGCCTGACCCCTCTATGTTAAAAAGCCTCTGCCTTCATTGCTTTAAATTTGAAACATTACCAAACATTTATTCAACAGTAGTCTCTGTTTACATTGGTCTAATATGGCTCACAGGGACCGCAGGATGGAAAAACATTTACAGAGCTGTCACGGCTCCATCAAGAAGGCTACTTCAAGGCCAGAGACCAGACCCAAACTCAATTAATTCCAAAAAATCTATTTTGGGGAAAAGGGAGCTAAGAGTATAAAAGAACTCATTCATGGTAATGGGTAATGCAGTTATTCAACAATATTAGCACAGTATTGGCGCTCTTAATGTGGCCTGCACAAAGACTGATGTTTTCCCTTGGTGCAATAAATAACTTTTTATTCTCCCTGCTGCAGAGAGATCACCTGCACAAATTATCCCTCCACAATATTTATAACAATGGCCTTCTAATCTGACCTGAGACAACCTGTCATGCTCCATCAAACGTGGGAATCAGATACTTCAGGGACACATGCTCACTTCTATGTTCCTCCAGCACACCTCCTCCCCTGTGCTTTTTTACACTGAGCCTGGGAGCAGAAGGAGAAAGTCACCCGAATCACATGAATCAAGCGCTGTGACATGGGGGTCCGTTGGGTCTGTGATCACACGAAGGATCACAAGTCCCTCTTTTTCCTGCTCTCGTTTCCATTAGCTGTGGATAAGAGCGGCGGAGTGGCCCTCCGAAGGCATATATTTCCGTTGATGAAGAGATAAATCAGATCATTTCTTGAGTGAGGAAGGGAGCACAGAGAAAGCCCTCTTGGTCACCCTCTTTTGAGATGTAAATGGAACGGTGGCACTGAAAGAGGGCCAGGTGTCCGATGCAAAGAGGCAAAGCGTGACGGTGCATGCATTCCTCGGGGACCTCAAACATTAACTGTTGATGTTCCTGATGTGGGAAATCATCAGCAGACAGTTTAATATCCCCTATTGGCTCAGCTAAAGCCAGGCTTTAGGGGTTTTTACATGGTTATAAGCTCTCTGTGATGTAGTTCATGCTTAGAGAACTCTGTCTTATGATTCTTTGTATAATGACTCAAGCTCAGCCAGTTTTAATGGATCATTTTTTAACTTAGGTTTATACTTTTGGTCTTTCTAATGCAGAGGCATGCATTGACTAAACCGTTCCATTGAAGTTTGTTGTTTATGGAGGTGGTTGTCCCACTGAAAGGTAAACCCCCTCTCTTATATCAGGTTTTAGCTTCACTCATCTTCCCCTCTGTGACCATTTTCCCATCCCTCTTGCAAAAACCCTCACCAGAGCATCCTAACAAACTGTTTTTTAGTTTGTTTGTTTTTTAACAATTAGGGTGCTGTGTTCAGTATGGTGTGCACAGTGAGTTTTAAACCTACGCTGTCTTACATTAAGACGATAAAGTTTAAATTTGGTTACATATAATGCACTATTCTTGTGGAAACAATTCCAGAAAAGATTTGTGAAGTTTACGCCCAAATAGTGGTGGTCAAACGGCCCGGTGGCGCCAGTGTACTGCAGCCTCTCTTCTGTCAGTGAGCCCCATCACAGCTGTGGCTACAACGTAGGTTGCCTGTGAGTGTGTGTTTGAATGACTGTAAAGCACTTTGGTCAAGTCTCCTGACTTGAAAAAAGCACTATATAAGTATAGGCTATTTAATGTTTTTAACTAAATAGCAACATCTTGCAAAATCTTTAAATTAAAAACAATCCTTCACAGAACAGCTGGATTTATACTGAGATTAAACTGAATGTAGGTTGAAAGACATAGTTGTGAAAATAAATTCCATAAATGTTTAGATTTCTATTCAGATTAAATATTTTGTCTTTCCTCTTTACTTTCTTCCCAGATTGACATTACTTTTGATCTATGACTCGAAATCATACAATCAATATATTGGAAATTCAGAAAAAGATGGGACCAAATGTGGGAACTTTTACACACCTGAAATGCTGCTCCCCTCAGAAACTCAGACATTCGCCACTTCTACGTTTCCTACAAGTTGCTGCCTGTGTTAATCCCTTTGCTCGCCTCCTGCTGACCACGGGTCAACAGCTGCAGCTCACACCTTGCTGGACGATTAGGAATGAGTTAACAGGCTTTTTGAGGTCATCAAGGCTGCAATTTGCACTGAACTCTTTGAAGCCTGAGGCAAACTATTAAATATCTGACACCTCAATGAGGAGAAAAGGAGCATTTGGGGGCTCAAAGAGTGAATCAACAAAAGAAAAGCCACCTGTCATTTGTCTAAACAACCTTTTCGGACACAAAAAGCTGTTTGGTCTCGCTCCAGGTAAATGGGATTTGTGAAAACCCTTCAAAAAACTACCTGGTTTTTATTTCTAAAAGTCCTAAATGTAAGACAGTTAAAGATATTTGCTTCCTAAATATACATAAGATCAAATGTTTGTTAGAATCAAACTATATTTTATAATCAGTTCTGTTTTTATTTGTGTCCAAGAAGTCCTGTTCGTCTCATTTTTTTTAAAACAAAAAACCCCAAATAAACTAATAAATCAGACTACTGCTTATTTAAATATTGTCTTCTTTAGCAGAGTTTATATTCATGAATTAAACCAAACCAATAATTTCAGTTAGACAGCTGGTCTAAACAAAAGTAAAGGTGAAGCAGTGCTTTAGCTGCTGTGTCAAATGAACAAGCAACAACCGAAACATGGATTCATAGGCAATAAAATGCTATAATGTATCTGCCATAAAATGACAGCCTTAGCATAATGCAGATAGTTATTTCATTAGTGCAAGTAAATCCAACTACAGTCACAGGTATATAGTTTTAACTAATAACTGTACAGGTATTTAAATAATGTTGCCAGTTTGCCTTAACTGCTCTGCCTCCTGTTCTAATTTTCTTATCCTTGCATGTTTCCACTATTGACTATAAAGGATATTTCCTTTATAAAATGTAATGACTAATCCTAGCACTAAGAGATACTAAAATATTCAATGCATGCAAATGAAATATAATCTATGGAAGAAGAAAAGGATCAGCTTTGAGAAATGTGTCTGTAACAAGTAAACACAAATACAAGGTTAATGTAGATTTATAGTTTATTCAAAATGGGAGCTGTAGCATGTGTACAAATGTCATGGAAATATGAAGTTATATTTATTTAGTCTAAGTATAAATGGTGCAAAAATATGTTAACGCATCCCACAGTAGAGGACAGTTCAAAGCAGTGAGTGCGCCCTCTACTGGTCAACAGGGCACATTGCATTACTGGCAGATGGCAATCAAAAGTGCAAAAAGAAAGGTTTCGAGCGAGAAATACCAAAAACATGTATCGTAACTTAATAACTCCTGTATTAACCTAGTGTAAGTAAAAAAAATTCCAATTTTCTTTTTAAAGTGAGTAAAGTGGAAAGTTTCCTGCAAACTCTACATTTTTACCATTTTTTTCTCCTAGTGTTACAAATTGGCCTGTTCTGATTGAAAGATGGCACTTTCTTCAACCTCTAATCAAACATTTAGCATTAAGCTTCTTTTTTTTTTTTTAAGAAAAAATGTACATGTCATATCTACACAATAGGCATTTAAACATTAAAAAGGAACAATGTCAGAAAGATAAATTGCAAACAATATACAGCTGTCAACCTTTTATTCCTCACTGCTTTCTCATCTTTTTAGTTAATTTTTTTTTACAGATATCTATATGTATATATATATATTTTTTTCTTACTCACTCTCACATTTACAAGTGGGTTTTTATATTTAGTGATAAAGAACTGGAATGACACCGATTTTGTGTTTTAAAAAAAAGGCTAAAAAAACCCTCAATAGACCTGAAGTTCTCCATATAAGTAATTACAAAGAAAACTGCTACAAATCTCCCATATGGAAATCCCATTAACCCCATTAGCTGTACACACAGCAAAGGCCTGTAGATGTAACATTGATAGTCTCAGAACAGTCATTTTTCTTTGGAAGATCTAGCCGCCCAAAAAAAAAAAAAAAAAGTGACCTAGGAATGCACGAACTCTCAAGTAACGCAGAGGAAAAGTCAGCACCGATAGGTGATCCGCAGTCATTTAATGTTCTTATTTAACAAATACCTAAAGGACTTAAAAGTAAATGGCATTTAAGGAGATAGGGACGTGTCAAACAGGAATGTCCAGTGTCCTCCGTCCCAACAATGCAGAACCCTGTTGGTGGAAGACAGCTGCAGGAAGATTTAACTGAATAAATAATCGCAGCACAAGAGTCCAACTGAGAAAAAAAAAGTATCTGTGATGGACAAAAAAAAAAAAAAAAAAGGGCACATTTAGTGACTCATTACCGTGGACAGGTTTAGAAATTGTAACATGACACACAGCTCAGGGCAGTGTGATGGTGCCCTCTAGTGGACCAAACAAGTAGTATTTTCAAAAATTGAAAGCAGTGGTGATTTTCAGCACCATATTAACTGCTAGTGTTAGCAATGAGTCAAAGCTGCATTACCTTTGGCACGTTCTTGTTCTTTAAGTTCTATATTATATAATCCAAAAACACTTTGCAAAAAAAGACATGCATTAAGGAACATATTTTAAGCATCTAATGGCACCTGCAGCTTAATGTGGCCAACTAAATGGAAGATTTAAGTAGTTGTACACTTTGCACTTAAGTTTCCAGACTATGTGAATATTATAGGCAAACTTGTGTTTTAAAATGAATACAAACCAAAAAAGTCCAGCGTGTGAACAGCATAAAAAATCTGAACAGATCTTGGCAAGGCTGGCTTTTGATTGTAGGGTGCTGGTGCTTTTAACAGACACGCAAACAAACACACGTACAAAAACGCCGCTGTACAGCTACAGGTACGTATCCTGCTCTGAGCTGCTAAGGCTTTGTGTGGATTCCTGGAGAGCAGGTTCGTTGGCAGCAGGAGGGTCTGTAGGGGGCGCTGTCTGCTGGTTATTGGAGTCCATTTTAGTTTCAGGTGGGGTCTCCGACGCCACGCTGCTGCTGTCTGGAGGTGGTGCGGGTGGATTTGAGGATGGAGGAGATGGATCAGTGGGGAGAGGGTACGGGTTTGGGATCTCCTCAATGGTGGGGGGTTTCTTTATGCTCTTTTTCTTCTTGCTCTTTCGCTCCTCTTTGCCTTTGTTGAGCTGCTGGGGAGGCTCCGGCACCTCGAGCACGATGGTGGGGTTCTGCTTCAGGTCCTGACGCCTGGGTGGTTCGGCCAACATGATGATGCGGGCACCGTGCATCCTCGGAGCTGGCTTAAAGTTAAGCTCTCCGCGGTTTTTCTTCCAGCGTTTGATCTGGGTGTGGTGCTCCCTCTCGATGTCTCGCGCTGTCACCGGCACTTCGAGAATCTGAAAAATGGGAGGAGGGGAGGGAAGGGGGGCGTCATTAGGAAACTGTGAGGCAACAGGACTTTAAAGAGCCCACACTGGAAAATGAATCCCTTCCATGTTAGACCATGTGTGTTTGAGCTTCTTCTTTGTCAGTAAATGCCAAAGGAGACTCGTTCACCCACAGCAGAGGCAGCCCTACAGATGAGAGGGTTTATTGTTTGAGGAGACAGAGGCTCTTACTCAGCTTAGCACATGAGCAGAAACTGCCCAAGTGGAACTCTGCTCAATAGGTCTGTTTCTTGTCAATTTAATTGACTCTCATGCTCCTCTTCTTTTCCCCTAAATCTATAATATCCTCTTGTTCTCCTCAGCTTTACCCCCACAAGACAAAACTCTTTTCAAAGTTAGAACATTAGAAAGTTAGAGCTGGTTTGTGTCCTAAGCTCCCAGCGTGCTGAAGGGTGCAGAACGACCCACCAAAGGCATTTAAAAACCTGCATTAAATGAGCTGCTGTTCAGTATGAATTTACAGCTGTAAGTCTTTCTAATTCAGAACTGAAATGGTCCTGCCACGTCCTTTCTGTCCAACGGGAGCAACGATCATCACACTCATCTGTTAGCCTGATAAACCAGACTAAATGTGAGATTAAATGTGTCATTTAGTCTGGCCCCGATGAATGAGACATCGGAAGATTGTTGATGAGAGCAACCGCTGTCTTTCAAACCGTATTGACCAACGCTCTGAACAATGAGCGCAACTGACTGTGACGTAGTAAGTGCGACAGAAAGCTGGTTGGGGAGTGTAAACAAAAAGCCTGTTGGTAAAATGGTGAAAACGTCCTACTTAAAAATGAATGAGCGTAGAGCCTCTTTTTGCTCACGTTTCAACGAAAACCCAAAGTCTAATCCTTGCAAAACTGAGTCAAAAGAGAACTGTTCAATAGTTGTTGCCATCTTCCTTGTTGTGCTTTCTCCAACGTTGCGCAGCTTTGTCGTCACGCCCTCAAAATCCCGCCCACTTTGAATCCAAAAATTCAAAACACTAACCCTATCTCTGCGTTGTGATTGGCCGCCAGTTCTAGGGCCTGGGGCATTGATCGAGGTTAGAGCACTCGCAGGCAAAAATAATTTTGGCCGCTGGTGGGTGGGGCTAGTTTACGACGCTACTCATTTGTTACAATTTCTGTTAACTAAAGGCCAGTGTGAAAGCCCACGGCACCAAACAGGAAATGATGGTCTGCTCCAAGTCTGGGCCCAAACAAGTGAACCTAGCACGTTTCTTATTGTGAATGCATCCTCAGACATTTTTAAGATTATATGTTTCATTCTGATTACAGAGTGAGCAAAAACTTCATCTCAACTTCGAACAAAAGATTTGAGAAAAAAAACTCTATTCAATGAGTCATCACTCATATCGTGTTAAGAAGATTTGAGATCAGCCAAGAGTAGTAACAGCATGACTGCAAAGTGAAATATGTGTTTATCAGCATTAAAATCCTGCAGCCAATCCACTTCTCTAGCAGATTGGCATCAATGGAAACTGACATTTTACCCATTCCTCTCTAAATTAAACTCCCAGACAGAGAGTATCTGTAAAGGCTGCCCCTGAGCCTCATTTAATTTATGTCTGGACTTTAACTGGTCTATTCAGACATTTAAATAGACTTTGATCTTCAGCGCTCTACTACAGCTTTGGCTACGCCTTCACGTCATTGTCCTACTGAAAGGTGAAGCCCTTTATTTAGCTCCAGCCATCTTTCCATAAACTCTGGCCATCTTATGTTTTTTTTTTGCTAGCTGCACCACAACAAATGCTTAATTTTGGATATCACAAGCAGTTTTCTGTTGAGGGATTCTACCACCTGAGGATGTTACCACGGCCCTGTTGGCTGCTTCTGCTTCCTCGTTCTGTTGGATGGGATTTAATTATCAGCAGATGGATTCCCTTCGCTGATTAATTTACTTCTGAAGGTGATTAGCTGCACCAGAAATTATTTACAGGTGTTAGAGAAAATAGGGCTGAATTAGAGATGTCACATACATTCATAGTTTTACAAAACTTTGTGTTGATTTTATGTGTAAAAACTAGAAGTTTAGGCTTCATTAGACAAGTTTAAAAATGTGACACCGACTGTTGAAACCCCAAATTATTCGGTAGATAACAAGCGTTCTCTGAGCTTTTCTATTTTAGGAAAGCAAACACATAAACACATAAAAATAAAGGGTTTTATTCTCTAATATTTACTTTGGTTAAAATAATCCTGGACTTAGTGATTCCAATCAAGCAGATCCCATTTAAAGGTTTAAGACGTTTTTATCAAATGTAAAAGGAGGACAGGAAAACAAAATTCTTAGCTAAAACCAATAGTTATAACAAGCTCCGTGTTTGTGATAAATACCAGGCGCTACATTTCTGTGTTATTCCAGCTCTCTGCTCTTACCTCTCGGACGAGGAATCCCTCCTGCATGTACCGTGGGTCGATGGCCCGGAGGAGCTCCATGGTTTCATACAGACCCTGGCAGGTCTTCAGCTTCTCACGTGTTCCCAATGTGCACTTAAGCAGCACCAAACCCACACGGAAAATTATTTTGACTCCTACGCACAGAGAAGAGGGGGGCGATTCAGACATTGGGACGTTGTGATGTTGAGTTACAGTGAGATATGCTTATTACCATCGCAGAGAAACATGTCCCAGACACGCAGCACTGAAGCCCAGGGCAGGGTTCTGGAGAAGGCACACATAAACCACTCGGTCATGTACAGGACGGGGTCAATCTTATGTTTCTCCAGGTGCCTGAAGGCTATTGGGGAAACTCGTCGCAGCAGAGCAAACAAGATCTCTCCATCCAACTGGATTGCTTCCTGAAGTGACAAGAGTGAGAACTCAAAAAAAAAACATAAAAATTCTGAAATTTGATTCACATAGTTTCATCAGAGAGCTTCAATTGTTTACATATATTATATACAAGTTCTGTTAGAACTTGTCCATTTGTATTCAAATTACATCTTTTTTTTTATTTTTATTTCTAACCAATAGTGATGTCACAGTGAATGTCAACTCACCAAGCCAGGGCTGTAGTAGCCAGGAAGATATTTCTCACAGATTTGGACAAGCCCCCAGAAAGCATCCTGCAGAAACAAACACAAGATCCTCTTAGAAACACGTCTAAAGATCATCAGTTCATACAGCACACCTATAAGCCAGCACAGCATGCAGCAGTAATTCTTTGAGCACTGAAGTCAGGAATGGGACCGTGTCAGATTATCTTTGTACGTTATTCCCAAGTAAAAACAACAAATTAGCAAGGTCATTCTTTGAGCTAGCAACTAGCTCAACTACTAAGTAGCAGTGTGCTGCAACAGGCGGTATATTAGCCTGACTCATATGCATCAACTCTTTAGGTCACAAAGTTTGCGGTGTGCCTTGAAAAGTGTTGAAATATCGGAAATCTCTTGGTCTGTTCAGTCATTCGGAATTCCTTTCACTGGAAATAAGGGGCGTCAATCCACTAATCTTTACACTTTGCACAAAACAGACAACTACCATCCTCCTGGCAACCACCAAGCCTAGAGGGGACCATAAAACTTCCAGATAAAGAACCACAATTAATGCTCTCAGGGAATGCACCTCTACTGTTCTGAAGTCCAGTGGGGACGTGCTTTACACCACTGCATCCCATAATTTGCATAACACTTGGAGATGTACGGCTTGGCTGCACCTGCTTGCAAATAGAAAGCCGTTCTATGGAGCTCTCTACAAACTGTCCTGGAGCTAATGCCAGATTCCCATTCAGCATAACTTCTAACCAGGGAGAAAGCATCGATGGTGGGCAGGGGGAAGTGAGAGAACGAGGTCTCTGCTGGACCTAAGGGAGGACGACCAGCAGTCTTTGAAGGAATAAATAAAAAAAAATGTTTTAAGACACCTAAAAACCTCTTCAGATCATTACTTATTTCTACCTTTAACGTTTTAGCTGAGAAAAGCTTTGCTTCCGCTGCATTTCTTTAACCTATAGCACAACTACAACCAGTCCCTGATTGGTCGCCATGACGCGATTTCATGGAAAAGTTCAGATTTTTCAGCATCAACAGTCACAACTCCACACTCTACTTCGAGCGCTGCTGTTTGACAACACCTCAGCTCTATTACGGAGCATGAGGCGAGAGCAGCCGTCCACTTCACCATCCTTCCTTAACACAGTTTGTATAGGGATACTATGTACTGCGCTCTGTCATAATGCATCTTTAGATGAATCAGGCCAGAAACGATACCAACACTAAACAAAATCTATAATTTGTAGAATAGATTTTTGCACCATGTTTTTTCTCCCACACTGTTTACATTTGATTACTGCTACACTTTATGGAATGGAAATGTTAGTTTACTGTCTGAAAAGCTGTACTAAACAAAATTTCATTTTGTATACATTCTGTTTATACAAAATGACAATTAAATGTTGTCTAAGTCTAAATTGTCCTCTTTAAAAAGTACCACGAGTAGACGTGTTATTTACAACCAGACTGTCCTTTTGGTTTTTATAAGCCTAGAGTTCTGAACAAGGAACTGAAAACATATCAGTGTGTGAATACGTCAGTCAAACCAGATACAAGTACCCAGAATAAGGAATCAATAAGCCCTCATACCACTGAGGAAGCTGTCCAGAGTCTCGATTTTACTAAATAACACAGAAGCCTTAAAAGTAGTGAAATTTAAAGCTCTACCTGGGTGTCACGCCACTTTTACAGTTTATCTTCCCGCTACTAAACCTAAAAACAAAATGGATTCAGAACATGCAAAAATCAGTACCTCAGCAGGCATGTGCATTAATAAAACAGCAGCAATAGGGGCCTGGGCCTGGCAGTATCCCTCCTCAGGTTTGTAGAGAGTGTATGCCTTGAGAACACGAAACAGATCCTGCTGCCTGCATAGTGAGAAAATATAAACAGGGAGAGGATTTAATCATATTTACCATCAAACTGTACAATCACTACTTCGACTTGTAAGATCACAGAGAACTCACCCGTGTCCTCCTCGTGACACAAACATCTCATGAAAAGGAAACTGTCGATGGAGATCTTTTTCAATCACATCGAGCCATTTAGGGTCTCCTGGTTGACTGTCCAGCTCCTGTCAAAATACACAAAATAGACACATACCATGACTTACAAGAAATATATTAGTGATGCCATGAGTAAAATTAGAAACAAACTGAATCATCTTAGATACAAATTTAGATTTAGAAAAATAAGTCAGTGTTTTGTTGTTTGTTTTTAAACAGCCGATTCAGTTCAGTGAAATTTCCACTGAAATAAAAAAAAAATTAAATGAGCCTACAATAAAACAACTAGAGAGCCGAGGAGGAGGAAGTGAAAAGAGAAGCTGTCTGACCTGAAACTTTCCTTGGTTCTGTTCTCTCTTCACCTTCCCTCCTGATAGGTAGAGCCAGGCACGGCCTCTGAGGGCAGGAGGGATCCCTTTCTGACAACGGAGTCTCACCTGAACCAGAGGAAGCATTTTACTAATTAACCAGTGAACAAAGATAAACAAGGGTGTCAAAGTTACAAATGAAGCCAATGAAAATGTATGTAGTGCATATTAGAAAGATTACTATAACTGTAATTCATGAATGAAATCACAGTCAAAGCAAACTGGAGATACCAACAATAATATATGAGGATGTTCGTGTTTAACAGTGTTTTTACACCTTTTCCAGTTGAAGATGCCAGTTCCATGTTTAAATTTCTTCTTTTTTATTTTCTAACAGTATTAACCTCTGGAGATTTGAGTCGGCTTTATACGTTTAACACCGAACTTCTACAGATAGACTCCTCAATAACCTACCGGTAATTCCTCTAATTTGTTGATATACGTTTACAAGCTAACATAATAGATAATTAAACAAACAGGAAATGATGATTCTGGTATCATTTAATTGTGTAGTCAATCATTACATGAGATTACATTTTTTATTTTACATTATGAAACGGTGAGATAAAATGTTAAAAGATGGTCAATTTAAAGTTTATAAATCATTCAAATTCAGTCAAAACGTAAACACTTAAATCAGAGAATGTCTAATATAGAATTAGGGCTGCAGCTAATGATTGTTTTGCAATTTGATTAATGGATCAATAATTGGATACCCGAGGTGATTTTATACAGTATATAAACTAGGGGAAGCCAAAAATGTGTCATTTGAGAAGCTCTAGATAAATTATAAAATTATATAAATAATATTCAAGGACCAAAAAAGATTTTTTATCTTAAATGCAAAGTGTAATTTTTTTAACCTTTTCAACATATTTACTGCACTGTTGGGTTACCATTTCAGTTGATGTCAACAGTCAGAGTCTATAACCAATTATTAAATTGGAAGACAATTATTTCATACATGATTATTCACAATCCGATTAATTGTTTGAGCCGAGCATACAATAAAAGCCAGATAAACTCAGCAATAGATAAAAACAATATGGAAAAATATCTTTTTTCTTGAAACAGGAGTATTTTCCCTCGTTTTGCACAGGTAACTAAAGCAATTGAATAAGATTCACATTTAAAATTAAAATAAAAAATAGCAACAGTATTCTTATTTTAAGTGCATAATATGTAATTATCTTACATGGAATGATAAATATCTTCATGGAAAGAAATACTCATTCCATTAGAAGATCATCTTTTTTACCTGATCAAGTTCAGGCCAAATATGCTTATTATAGGTTTAACTCAGGTTTTTTCAGGCAAGCATGATAAAAGAAAACATATTTTATATTCAAAACAAACAGAGACAGTTTGGAGGAAGATTATGTTGACCTTAGTGGGATCAAAGTCTGCCATCATTCTACTTGGGAATGAAAACAAAGGCTTAAGGATTTCTTATTCTTATGTTAGTGCAAAAGCGATGATCATTCAATAACAACAACAAACCTCATGTGATGCAACTGACTCACCTGATGAATTCACTTCACATTGTGCTCTTATTCACAGTACTCCCTAAAATGATCCATCACTGTATGTTTCAAAACACAGATGGCTTTTCAATAGCTTAGCAAGAGACTTTCACAAAAGAAAAAAGCACAAAGGATCGTTAGAAACCCCTAATCATTATAAAAATAGAAAAAGGTCTGTTCTTCAGCTGCTGTGTACTACTGGAAAGCTCTCAATGCTTCCCCAAACTTTGGTGTATAAATAGTTTACATTTTCACCACCATTATTACATGGTTCTATCACAGAAACTAAGAGCAGCTCCACCCTGAATCTGAGACAGTCATTTTGTCACATAGTGTGATAGGAGACAACAACAGGGTTGTGTCCTGGCTTGCAGCTGACTCGAAGAAATGAGGTGAGGTTACAGCTCTTTGCTCAGCTGCAGAAATCTGTTCACACAGAACTTGTTAAACAAGTGGGTTTGCGAACAATAAGTCTATAAATTTCTAGCTTGCGCAATTAAAATCCTTGAAGCAACAGCGATGGAAGTTTAATCATGCATCGGCACGATTCAGAACATACAAACTATCAGCTTGAGTTGTTTTAATAGCCTTTGCTGACCTTATTGAACCTTTTCAGCATCCATTTGTCCCAATGGCTGAGCATATCCAGCCACTTCACCTCCCGTTGCCTGAGCACCTCTGGAGGAACATCCTGAGCTCTGGTGACAAAGCAGAGACAAGAGAGTGAAACTCAATGTTAAAAGTGAGTGAATATCTCAAATACACAAAATCACATCAAAATAAAATGAGTAAAACAGAAGACTTTCATGACTCCTGCACAAGTCATGTTTCAAAGAGAAGTATTAATGTAAACCAATGTTTCAAAAATGCATAATGATAATGCTAGTACCACTAGAAGCCCCTTCAACAAGCTACAGTAAGCTGGTGTATTTGCTTTGAACACTTTCCAGTGTTTACAAAAAAGGATCATTTAGGCCTATTGAGAAATGTTTCTGACCACAGGAAAAAAGCATTGATGGAACGTTTTGGAAAATAAAGGCAATCCTGCCTTTAGGAATAATGTAGCATTACAGAAATCACTAATGTTCTGTTCACTAACCACTTTAAAACTAATGCCTCTTTCCACTGAAATTAGTGGGTTAACGGGTTTTTCAAACACGGGGCGACACGTTAGAAATTGGCGTTTGGCTCCCTTTCCATTGGCGATAAAAGTCTTTGGCAATCTGCGTGTCCTCCATCCACACACCTCTGAGTGTCTGGTGACACCATCACGCTTGGTTAGCATTGATTATGTCACCAGTGTGACAGAAATAAGGAAAGTGAACAATGGATAGCAACATGTACGGAAGCCAGGGCGAAGTAAGTCTGCCTTATTCAATTCAGTTATGATATATACAGTTATGATATATATATATATATATATATATATATATATATATATATATATATATATATATATATATATATATAAACTGTTTTCTCACCCCTCGTGGGGTGGTATGTGTCATCCTCAAGCTCGGGTCCTCTACCAGAGGCCTGGGAGTTTGAGGGTTCTGCGCAGTATCTTAGCTGTTCCTAGGACTGCGCTCTTCTGGACAGAGACCTCTGATGTTTTACCTGGAATCTGCTGTAGCCACTCTCCCAGTTTGGGGGTCACAGCCCCCAGTGCTCCAATTACCACTGGCACCACTGCTGCTCTCACTTTCCACATCTTTTCTAGCTCCTCCTTCAGTCCTTGGTATTTCTCAAGCTTCTCGTGTTCTTTCTTCTTGATGTTGATGATATATATATATAATGACCAATGCAAAAAAAGTAATAATTTGATCAAATGGTCACCAATCAAATGGTGCATCTGCAACTTTATGCATCCAATCATTGCTTTTGAGATGTTAATCATTAAAATAGACATGATAAGATGAATAATGTGGACTAAATATGTTGATCCTGTAGTCGGGATTAGTGTAGTTCAAATGTATTGGTGAGGTGATTCTATGCAAAGAAAAAAGGGGGCGAAGCTCTACAACAGAACAGAAGATTTAACATGGTCAAAACTAACATTACATATCATTTCTGAAGCTTTACTGAGTTATGTTATTATCTCATCAGGTCAAGCCTGTAATAGCAGGGTAAAACTCCGTCACAGTTTCCTTTTTTAAACACAGGATAGCTCTCACTCAGCTGGGAGTGTAGACTTGATGTGGTGGGCAAGTATACGGTTTTATACTCCAGTTTAGGCTTTCAAAGCTCTTAACTAATTAAGATACTTTTATTGCCAAGCACTGCAAGCGAATGCTTAAGTATGAGCCCAACAAACTGAGCCAAAAGAGGCCCTTTGGTATAAGGGCACCAGAAGATGGGGTTCAACGCTTGCCAACATTACTGCAAAAAGAAACCTGGAGAGTGACTGAGATAGCTTTCACTCATTTCTTCAGCGTTGCAATGAAGGAAACAAAAAAGTGTCAATTCATCAATGCCCAGAAAGATGTGCAGAGATGAATTCAAAACATAATTTACAATGTGACCAGATAAAACTATGCAAATTGTAATTAGACCATCTCAATATGTGTTAACCATTATCAAGATGTTACTGGCTTGTATCTTTCTAGAGCGGAGGTCTTCAACAGGGGGTCCGCTACCCGTATGGGGTCCATGGAGGTGCTGCATGGGGGTTGCGAAAGTTTTGTTTAATTAGACTTTTTAATTTTTCTATTCCCCCCTATAATTTTTTCCACTAATTGAAATGTCTTTAAATACACATGAACATGAATTCAACACACTGTAGTGAATGGATAAATGGAGGCAGAAGATGTCTTTCAGCCATTAATGCACACATTCAGCGACACACAAGAGCTCTTTCAAGCTGGGCACCATTTTATTCACAACACCTGTCCCATCAACGAGGAATCAAAATCAGAAATATTCCCAGGGAGAAATAACTTTCGTTGCATGAGTCTATCTGTAATAGAGTGACCATAGGACTAGTTGGATATAACCCATTTTCACAATATATATACAGAGGTGTCAAGTAACGAAGTACAAATACTTTGTTACTGTACTTAAGTACACTTTCTAGGTATCTATACTTTACTCCATTACTTATTTTTCTTCCTACTTCTGACTTCTACTCATTACATTTTCACACAAGTATCTGTACTTTCTATTCCTTACATTTTTTAAAACAAATGTTACTCGTTACTCTTGGTTTCGGTTTAATGTTTTGGTTTTTATTTTTACGACTCTAGTGGCTTGTTTTTTTGAAAGTAGGTTGACAGGAACTCAGGTCGGCCACGTCGAGGACTAAGGCCTCCGTACATGGGTCGTGCACTTACCACTGCGCCACCTGCATGCCCCAGGTTTAATGTTTATAAATATTTATTTCATGTCATGTACGCCATCCAATGCAGATCATTGGCGCCATCCACATCTTGTCAAAACTAGTGTAATTGGATGAGTCATAGAACGCAAACACTCATTGGTTAGCTAAAGGAAATCATCAAAGCAAGCAGGTGTTCTTCAATCTGGAAACGTTTTCTATGCTATGCTACAACGTCGGATTCAGAAAAAGATGTTGAAATGTCTGAAAGAGGGTATCGGTAGATGGAGACCAACAAGACTTCCCTCTTCCTTGGCCCTATTTCAAAGAATTTTTAGAAATAGTGAGCTTCAATTCATATAGTGGCATCTGGCTGTTTTTTTGTTGTTTGTTTTTTTTTTAAGGTTACTTTATACTTCAAGTAGTTTTTGGAGCACATACTTTTTCACTTTTAATTGAGTAAAGAGGTCAAGTTGATACATCAACTTTTACCAGTGTTTTTAAACTGCAGTATCTATACTTCTACTTAAGTAATACATGTGTGTACTTTTGACACCACTGTATAAATAATAGGGGGTCCCCCTCCATCTCGCCATCAGTGAGGGGGTCCTTGGCCTGGAAAACGTTGAAGACCCCTGATCTAGAGGTAAAAGGGGCATCCAGTTAGTTAGAAGAAAACACAGGCTGTGCCACGCAGTTGGCTTTGCAGTTCATGCAACTCAACTGATCATCGCCCCGTTGGGATATTTTATCCTCTGTATCACAGAACATTTTCTGTTCAAATGGATTCCACCACTCCCATGTTATAGGTTGATTACAATAAGCCTGCAAAACAACATTGTGTGGGAATGAATCACTCTTCGAACTGAAACAAACTTACGACTCCTCGGAGTACTGCTGCGCCCCTCCGATGAAGCCATATCTGTCGGTTTGCCTCTCGCTGGTGAAGCCGTTGATCTCCGAGTCGGAACCCAGAGAGCTCTCGTCTTCTATGTGACTGCTGTTAAGCGTCCTGATGCTCCCCATGTCCACTGACGGGCGGCCATTCTCTATTTTGGCCATGGTGGCAGAGCTAGCTAGCTAGCCAGGGTTAGCTAACGTCAGCAACGAGCTTGTTGACAGCCCAAAACTCAGTCAAACTACATCGACGCCATGATTCCTAAATCCGAATCAAAGTTTTTCCATCAGCCAGCCTGGTTGCAAATTGTCCCAAATCCTCATTTAACGGACCGCATCCAATAGGTTATCCGTTAGCCTTGGTGGTTGACTTGTATTAAATTCATCATTAGCAAGCTAATTGTTAGTTAGCATTAACTGCTCGTACCAACACGATACTTAACTATTTTCGACCGTCCCTGCCTACGTCTCACCACCGTTACATCATATACAAGTATTTTCCCTGTGGTCTATGTAATTACACTTATTATGAGCTCAGATAATACTAGAATAATACGTTGTGCTGTCATCCCGAGTGTACAGCTGGACAGAATGCTTCGGTCGGGGAGCAGCCAAATCTAAAATCCTGGATGGACTTTTTCTTTTTTCTTTTTTCCCCTACCGTAATGAGAAGGTTGCCCCTAGTGGCCGAATACAAGAATACAACAGTTTTCAAACTCATAAACCGATGTGGGTAGAGTGCCATAAAACTGTGCTTAAAGCTACAGTGTGTAATAATTACAGGGATATACAGTCAGAAATGTAATATATTATACATAACTATGTTATTTTATCATCATCTACGAGCTCAGCCTCTTAACCTTAATATTTGCGTTACCTTAGAATTCGTTATTTATAATTACATAGGAGCGGGTCTTGCAGCCATGGAGGCAGACATCTTTGCGCTACGGCAGCGCAGAGCCAACAAACTAGTGATTGCGAGATCGCCAAAATGTCACAACCATGTAGAAAAAATAATGGGTATATTTATTATCTTAAGTCTACATGAAATCTATACCCTACACAGACTAATGAAATACTATCTGTAAAATTATCTATGTAAACAAACCTCATCACTTGTGAAGGTAGGTGATGCGGACGTCGTGGAAGACATTTTGTCCCGTAACGCTCGCCGTACTGTTGGGGGGGAGAAGCGGTGGGGGGGAGATGATCATGTTGCTGCAGTCTGCAGTCTGAGCGCTAGATGTCGCTAAAAGTTACACACTGTAGCTTTAAGAACAGCACAACTTCATATTTTTACTCAAGTAAAACTAAAATCTAGACTTTAATAAAGGTATTTGAGAGTAAGTATTTGGTTAAAGGCCACTAAAATACTAAGTAACCAATCTTAGGGTGAACAGATTTGGGTTTCTGAAAAGGAGGACGCTTGAATCTTTTTTTTTTTTTTCCCTGGGGTATGCTTCCCAAAAATATACAAAGGGTTGAAATTAAATAAAAATGTACAGAAGAGAATTAGGGCCACTGGGAAAAAAAAGTTAACTGATTTTTAAATATTATTTCGGTTTAATATGGGAAAAAAAGTCAGAATTCTGACTTTTTCTTATAATTCTGACTTTGATCTCAGAATTCTGACTTTTTTTCAGAGAATTCTGACTTTAATCTCAGAATTCTGACTTTTTTTCTTAGAATTCTCACTTTAATCTCAGAATTTTGGATCTTAATGTAGATGGGCACCATCAAGGAAGAGATGTGGGAGCACTCAGCTTCACTGAAAAAGATGTGAGTTGTTTAAGAGGGCCAGTAACACATTGGTGGAAAATGACGGCATTAGGCAACTTTTTACATGCCCGACGGTCCCCAGTGATGCTATTTCATTAATGGAAGAGCAGGTGATTAAAACAAGAGAGCTAGTTTTGTCTCTAAAACAGACATGGCTACAGCTTGATGCTTACATGTTTGTTAGCTGTCAGAATTCAGTCACAATTCTGAGATTAAAGTAAGAATTCTAAGAAAAAAAGTCAGAATTCCACGATTAAAATCAGAAGTCTGAGATTGAAGTTAGAATTCGGCCTTTTTTCTCATACTAAACTGAAATAAAATGTAAAAATCTGTTAAATTTTTTTAAATTTTTAAAAAAAAAATTTAGTGGCCCTAATCATCTTCCATAAAAATGAGTTTGCCCCATCTGGCTAAAGTACTTTGAACCAAGCAATCTGAAGAAACAAAAATCAATAAATTCCTTATCTTATGACCAGCTAAGACTAAACTAATATAAAATCATGCCAACAGATAACATATGTAAGGCACACTTGCTTTTATGCAATTTTAAACAATTTTCAATTTTTAAGATACTTTTAAAGACAAAAGTTGGGACTTTTCTTCAATAGCTTCCAGGTCATGTGACCCACCGACTCAAATTATTTGTGAAATTGTTTTACTGCATTAGCCTGATGATGCACACTCATCTTTATTCAATTTTAAGCATTTGCATATTTTTAAATTTTTTTTTATTATAAAAACAATTGATATTTCAATAGCTTCCAGGTCATGTGACCCACTGAATCCAAATCTACTTCCTATCCATGATGATAATTGGTATTTCAAAGAATAACTAAGATGGAAGTAATCATATAACACAGTAATTACACAATAAGAGAATTAAGGTATGATACACACTCTTCAAAATAATTTTTTGGGAGTTATATTTCCAGGAACACTTGTTACAGTATGTAAGAATAGTTTAAATAAAACTATACCGTTTACTTTAATTGCACTAAACCTCCAAATGAGTCGGCACACCCAGCAGCAGATAAAACAATAAGTCTCAAGTATGAAAAATAAGAAAGTGTCTCTCTCAATGGTTCAAATTTGTTTAAAACAATAAATGTAGTTACAATGATTGGAGTAGCCAGAAACTACTCCACAAAGAGTAGTGATATTTGGTCATATTTTTACTCAAGTAAAAGTAAAATGTTGTAAAACTACTAAAAGTACATCTTTTTTCCAAAAGTTACTCTAGTAAATTAAACTTACTAAACAACTTACTAACCCCTTAGTAAAGACAGTTTATAAGAGCACCGCTTGAATTTATGCAATCGATAGACAGATAAACAGATAGAGAAAAAAGAAAGAACCCAGCTTTTAAGTTGTAGGACATAAATAGGAAGTCTATTCAAGTCTAAGTTCCATCAGGGAAAGATGAAGGTCGCACCATCCTTGGCCTCAAAATCCAATATGGCTGCCATATGTCTAAATCAGTGGGTCCAAATTTTTATATGAAACTTTAGCTGTTTATCCATCATTAAAAAAATATTTTTTTGCATGTTTAAGAAATAATATCATGAACAGACACCATTACTTGAAAAAGTATCCATGTTTTGAAGTTTCACTTACACCCTATGTTAAAGGGATTTAGATCAACTTATGTTTATGAGATCGATTTGATCAAAGTCAAAACCTAAATTCTGTTCTGAATCGGTTGTACTTGATTTCAAAGATTCCCAAATCCAGTTTAAATATCTTGAATCATTTAAAGATGCATCCAGTCTCAATTTTAATCAAATAATTGGCTCATTGGGCAGTACACAACTATTTTGGACAAATGTCAAGCAGAATGTGGGAAAAAAAAACTACCTGACTGCAGAAGATCTGATATTGTGGCTGAATCTTTGCTCGGGCTTGGGAGTTTTTCCTAACTTTTCCCCAAAAGATCTCACATTGCCTATAATGATTGATAGAAACAGGTTAAGTTTTCTGCTCTTCTCTTGACTAGCTCCTGCTCTACATCCCCAAATCCTCCTTTTCAACTTAGCTGCTACTTGAAGTACTTGAAGCATTATTTCAGCTTTAATTATATTAATGAGGAGCTTTGAGGTGTGCTATGGCTACACATCAAAAGTGTTCAAAAAGGAAAAAACAACATTAGTAATACCAAAGGCAAAACACATCTTATGCACAAACAGAGGAACTAAAGTTCTCTTAAAGATCAGTCAAGCTAGCAGAGCTACTCCAAAGGATAAGTTGGAGCAGCGACTGTAAGCAGTGAAGTTCTGGAATAAAAAAGGTGGTTCAAACAAATCTTTGAGTGTATTTCATTTTTTTTTTATTTACTCAACAAAAAGTTTGACTGTATTAGATAAAATCTCACTGAAACAAATTAAAATGTTACAAAAAAGCTTGAGTGATCGTCGTTTCCCCCAATAAAACCAAATATTCAAATATTAAAAACCGTTGGTCTTAATAATGGGAATCCAAGACACAAATGTGAGTCCTTCCATGCTGATCATTTCAGGAGTGGACACAAGGACGACAGAGGTCCACATTCCATCTCGCAAGTAGTTGACTTCGTACGGTAAAGTACATTGGCTTGAAGTTATTTGCTCTGTGATTGCAACTAGAACACAGGATCCAATTTCTGATTACAAAGATAAATAAAAGCATAAGCAGGCAGCAGTACTTCTTGATTAACGACATGATTCAGGGGAGTATTCGCAGCTACACTTCCCTTTAGACTTTGCTTGAATCAAAAGACCCCTTTGCTTCAACCACTTATTTTAGCTTTTAAGACTTAGTAGTTGAAACTTCTACTAACTAGAAGTTTAAACTTCTACTAGGGTTGTAACAATACATTGATCCACACTGGTAAAACAAATGAAGAAGCAAAAAAAAGTTTCACAAAAAAATATCCCTAATACCAGAACCGTTGAAAAAAAAATGTAAATTCAAAACATACACAGCAGAAAAATATTAATAAGTATTTATTAATAAGTCTTTTATTGGAAATGAACAAACAAGGATTCCATATTTTGAGCAATCAGGATTAAGAACCAAAATCACTGCTAATTAAGAACAATATACCATTCAAGGACAGCATTAACTTTATAATAATGCTTGGGGGGAAAAACACAACTATATAGTTCCTAATTTTATCACTGAACTAAAATGACTTACAGAAAAGAATATTATATTGTTGGAAATTTTGCTCCAGAGGAACATCTCATTTCTTCCTTCCACCTCTCTCCTTCAGAGCCAAATGAATGATTGAACCATTGATCATGTTGTAATAAGCCAAAGAGTTTGAATCCTTGATGAAGATGCCCTGTAAATAAGAATTAAAACATAAATTAGTATTTTTGATCTATGCAGATAAAAAAAGTTCCTGTTAAGTTGTGAGACAGGTTTACCTCATACTGTAGCTTCTGTTTTCCAGCTGGCATGCCGGTTGCCTCGTGGATTTTGACTTTAATAACAGACACCTATAAACACATTTTATTTATTAATCTATAATAAAAAAAAGGCATATCTCAAATCACACATCTAAACTACAACAACCATTATCATACCTGGTCTGTAACTGGGACTGTGAAATTCAGAACTTGGCCATTTAGCTTCCATTCGCTCTTGTCCTGCATGTTGGGGACTTGTACTTTGACTGCCACAGGACCCTGCATGCAGCAGAAAAGGAGAGGAAAAAAAAAACAGGGTTTCTTAAACATGCAGTTATCTTTATTTTGGCTAAATCCGCATCCAAAACCATCAAAATTGTCTAAACGCAGTAATTAAAAGCATGACTAGAAATTTCCACATTCAAACATTTTACAATTTTATAACCTTCAGGACATTGGAGTATAAAAGGGTATAAACCACTTGTAGTTCAACTCCAATCATTCAACAATCCACATCGATACAACTATGAATCATTGAAGAGCTTTGATGCAAAAGAAAACATCTATCCACTTTGCCCCCTTTAAGATGTTGTTTAGAAATTCACAAGACAGAGGACCATTTGGCAGGTGAGCGACTATTATCGTTTTCATAATAAGAAGGATCTTTTTGATTTGCCTGTCAGAGCTTAGACATGAAACAGTCAAATATTTGAGATGTTTTTTTTTTGAGTTGATATCAATGTTGATGTCTAATCTGGGCTCTACTGATTACAAATCCTTTAAATCTGGGTTTGTGTTCGGCCATTTTCCTTTTCTATGGAATAATTGTAAACAGGAGAATGACCCTGGAGTGTGGCTGAAGCACATATCAAGAATAAAAAAAATGAGCTGAAAGGGGCCTTAAAAAAAACAATAACAGCAGTGCCATAAAATTTTGCTGTTGTGAGGTGACATCATGTGGGAGTGGTGGCCTAGTGGTTAGGGCATATAGCTTGGAATCCTAAGGTTTTGAGTTCGAGCCCCACTCCCACAGACTGCCTCTCTGAGCAAAAGACCCTTAACCCGACACTGCTCTTGGAGCAGCCCACTGGGGTGGGTTAAATGCAAAGAGTTCAATTTATTGCTCTGCTATTCTAAGAGTGTAATGATAATAAACAGGGGGTTGGGGAATATATATATATATATATATATATATATATATATATATATATAACAAATCACTAATTTAGCTAGGATTAGAGATAGACCGATCTATCAGGAGGCCAACAGTTGTTTCGTTTCCTTTTATCCATGGCCACCCATAGTGCATGCATTCACTGATAAATTAGTGCAATGAGCAGCCATGACTTGAGATCCTGCGATAAACTGATAATGTTGCATTTAATTTCTAAATGTTTCTTTTTCGTATAAATTATGCGAGTAACAATGACCACTGTCATGTTCATGATTAAATGGAGGTAGAACAAAAGCAACAAACATCAGATTCCAGAATAGCCCCCAAATATTTCAATTGGGATTAATAAACTTTTTAGGGCATAGAGCTTGGAATCCCAAGGTTCTGAGTTCGAAACCCACTCCCACCGACTGCCACTCTCAGTCCATGAGCCAAGACCCTTAACCCCACACTGCTCCCCAGGGGCCACAGTGGCAGCTCACTGCTCCATAAGGTGATGGGTAAATGCAGAGGTAAATTTCTCCAATGTGAGATCAATGAAGTTCAATTATTATTAATAATTAAACATAATACGGAATACTATGATTTACTTTTACTCTTAACAGACCTTGTTTCGACGCAGGAACTCTTCTTCTGGTATGAGGTTGTCCTCAGTCTTCATCTTCTTGTTGACTGGCTCATCCTCATGCGGCGGGGGTGGGTGGACGGGTGGTGCTGGGACAGCGCTAGGTGGCTGCGGCATGGGAGGAGCAGGGACAAAGGCTGGAAGAAGAGGAAGTTTGTTTCAGTTGCAAGAAGAGGAAGCTAAAGTGACTTAAACTGGGAAAACTTGCTCTTACCAGTTGGAACAACCATAGGAGGTGGTCTGGGGGCCATGAGATGGGGAGCTGGTGGCATGGGAACCACATTGACACGGGGAGCTGGAATCATGGGGGGCATCTGTGTTATGACTTGTCCTGGTGCAAGGCGTACAACAGGAGCCACGGGGGGCCTTGGAATCACAGGTACCGCAGACAACAGAGTGGTGCGGACTGGAGGAGCCACCTGTTTAAATAATTGAAGGGTGTTAAATCTAGCAGCATCCATGGATAGTTTTTATATTTTATTACATTACAAACAAAGCATATAAAAACTTCAGTAGGAGTAGAAATATACAGACTTTATAAAAGTTTTGCAGGCGTTTCGTTTCAGTCCCTCTGAAGAACTCGTTGTCTTTCACTGTGCTTGGAGCTGCAAATGCGCTACGTCTCTAAAAGTTTGCATATCTAGACACTGAATTTAGTCTGTTCTTTACAAAGTACTCCAAACTCAGTCAGAATGGATGAGGAGCAACGGGGAAGAGCAATTTCTAAGTCATAGATTCCTTTAAGTCTGAACTTTGACTGGGCCATTTCAGCACAAGAATAATCTCCAAATCTAACCTGGGATTTTAAAATCCAGTCCGCAAAGACTAGTGACCTCGTCATTTAGATATGCCTCAGGTCCAACACACATACATCAAATTTCTGAGTTAGCTCATTGGGTAAATGATGGAATAACTTAACTCGAGAATGTTCAAACAGTAGCAGACTGTAAGCATTTCAGAGTGGAGTTTTACAACACTTATATAAACCATTACAGTGTTAAGCTTGCAGTTCTTATCCAGGATTAAAATCAATCCATACACCAGTGTTTAAGTAAAAAAAAAAAAGTTTCTAAGATTCCATCTACTATTGCTAACTTCTGCAGACCATCAACTAAACACTACTTAATAATGGCACCATTAAACTTACAGAGACAGGTGGGCGTGACACAGCTGTGACTGGAGGACTAGGTTTAGGCAGATTGGGTGCAGATGAGTGGATGGGAGGAGGCTGATGAATTTCACTTGGCTTGCTTGGACCAATTTTCTCCTTTGTTTCATCCTCTCCCACCAATCCTTTGGCCTTGTGAATGGCTTCAATCTGCTCTTGCAGGGTGATGTTGGCCTGCGCTGCCTGCTGTGTGCGAGCCATGCTTCCTGAATGGCCATCCCAGGTAACCTAATGCAAACAGCAGCAAATTAATCAATTTCTTATTTAATCTTTGAGGATTAAGAAAAATTTAGCCTTTACGCCAACTTTAAGAGGTTTAAATCAGTAACTATTCCTACCTTTTCTTCAGGCTTCTGAATTTCCTCTTCACCAATCTTCTTACCAATGGCTGTCTCCTCCACACCAAAGATATCAGTACGCCTCTCAGCCAGCTGTTTCAAGCTGCTCTCAATATCCAAACCAGGGGCATAGACCTCATCCTCAGTCTGTCTGTCCTGAATGGTTCGGCTTCTCTGTTCCAGCCAGCGCGGATCCAGCAGGCCAATACGCATGTGCTCCTGCATCTTACTGGCTGGAATCTTCTCACCAGTGATTGGTGAAATAAGGTACTCATCCGGGGCGGCAACTGAAGGCGGAGGCTTGGAAGCTGTGAGAACAAGATTACATAATGAGCTTGATCTATTTGCAATTCTTTTATGATTTTTCTATAATCTTAATAAGTGCGTCATTTATTCTAGCCTCTGAGAACTTAATGTGTTGCTTCAACATCTGAAAAACACAGATTTCAAGCTTCCAGTGGTCAACACTCCATACTGCTAAGATTGAGGGTCCAAACACAGATTCCCAGAAATCTTGATTGATTATCCCCTCGTTCAAAAGTCTCAAATGAAGCAGTTGGTTAGCAAATTGGGAGTTTTTGTCCCCCAGAATGAATTCATCCCTTCCTTTAGCAAAGGGAAGGCCGAATATTGTGACATGTTTAACTGTTATTGTCAAATGCTTTATTGTCTAAAGAATTTTCATTCAATATGATTAATATAAATAACTAAATAATGCAGGATGTTTACAAACTTTATAAACTAGAATTACATTGGTATCTTTTATCGTTCCCGTTTTATCCATGAGAGCAGAAAAATATCAGCATAAAAGCTTTCAAAAATATGTATTGAAGCTGCATTTGTGTCTGTGGGGCTTTAAATTATAGCCGCACGATTACATAAATGACTAATGTGCTTTAATCATTTTTAAACATCACAACGAATAACTATGTTCATGTTTCCAATCCTTATTTTTCAGGCTGATAAAATAAAAGATGTCTAACTCGAATGCCTTTAAAGCTGCTTGAATGCTCTTCACACAGTCTACTGTAAAGCTTTCCTCAAACACATTATTTATAAAAGTTTAATAAATGTTAATTAAAATATATTTAATTTTCTGTTTGACCTGTTTTTAATTTAAAAGTTACATTTTATGACTCACTCTAGATCTCAACTCCCATATCATCCACAATTAAAGACCAATTCACAGAAAAGGTCAATGTGTATAAAGACACAAATATCTGCAAGTAAATGTTTTGATCAATGTTATGTTTGATTAAGCCATTTCTCACGTCATAAGACCTTTTAGTTTTCTACTTGTTTTATTAAGGATGTGTAACTTATTAAAAGTATTGGGTTTGTTTGATATAGTGACGTTTTACGCTGCTGCCAACTGAATGAGTCAAAAACCTTGTATAACTGAGTGAATAAAAGTTTACCTTTAGGGTCATAGTCCTTGCGAATAATAACCTGTTCTGGAGCTGGAGGAAGCGGGGGAGGCATTGGGTTGTCTGGTGGCAATGGAGCCTTCCCACCATCCTCTTCCTCATCAGATCCCTGAAGCAGCACAAATAAAATACTGTTAAAGACACGCTTTAAGGTTTACGCTCGTTTCCAGTAATTATTTGAAATCATGTATCATCTATGGAAAGATTAAACAAAAACTAAAAAGCTTTTTTTTTTATATATATCAAAAACTGCGTTGTATGTGAATAGCCCAATTCCTCCGCTAAGGTCTAACCTCATCCATGTCTTGGATTTGAGTATCTTGATCAGGTTGTGAAGGTTGGCCGTCAGCACGTTTCTCTCTTTCATCATCTTCATCCTCACTCTCAACCTCCATTTCAACCTCCTCACTTTCTCCAAATTTCTCGTAGCGCTCCTGGATCAGGATGCGAGCGCCCAGCTCCTCTGGGGTTGTAGGCGGAGGGAAGTGGCCTGGAGGTAACAGAGAAAAAAAAAAAAATCTATTTGTTAAAATCATCCATTTGCCTGATAGTCAAAAAGACAAATGGTAAAGATAATACCTTGTTCATTAGGCTGGAAATCCACAGTCTCCACAACAACAAAATCATGCCAGTCTATCTGGGCATATGCTACCCTTTCTTTCTCCCTTTCCTCTTCCTCCTTCTTTCTCTCACGTTCCTGGTATTTAGCCCACTCAACACGGTATCTCACCTGATATTTGGATCCAAATACACATAATTAGTTGCTGTAAACTGCTATGATTAGCTTTTCTTTTGACGCTTAAATAAATTACCTGGTCCATAACTTCCTTTGGATTCACGGCCTCTTTCTTAAGTTTGATTAGCAGGCCTTTTGGAGGGATCAGAATCTAAAAGATGTAGAGTTTAAAAAGCAGTTAACATTGGTCAATTAACACAGACCAACCATGAAGATCAGATCCAGGCTGAAGCTTTTAGGATACCTTTGTGTACTGCTCCACCAGTTTGGTGAAGTAATTGAAAAGGCTGTGCTGTGGGCGCAGAAAATCAAACTGGTAATTCCTCTGCTCCTTCTGCATGAGCTGGGTGAGAAACTGACGGCCGTTGCGAGCAACAAACTGTGCAGTTAGCTTCACGACATCCAGGTCAAATGCAGAGATTGATGGAGGATCAGCAATGAACTCGAACTCTGGAGGTGGTTCTTTTGGGACCACGGCCTCTTGAATCACCTGCACCTAAAATAAACAAAGATTCACTTATTAATAAAAAAAAAATTATAATAATTTACAAGCAACATAAGAGCAAATATTGTGCAGGTGAGTGCAATACCTTTTGAGGAAGCTGCTGGGTCTGCTGCATGGCTTGCTGTTGCATGACCTTAGGGATTGCTGCAGAGGGTTCTTGTGCTTTGCCCTCCTTAAATTCATTGACCTTGTGGCGGTAATAAGCATGATAGGGATCGTTGGGATTAAGGAAATTAAATTTAGGGTTGTTGATCTCATTCTGACGGATTCTTGCTTCGAACTCTGGTCCATTCCTTTAAAGTCACAAGAAACGGACAAACAAAAAATTTAAATGAAAGCTAATTTAAGACAGTTGCTTAAGTGTGTAAGTACATCACATGCAGGATAACTAACCTGGCTACAAAACTAGCCGTCTTGTCAACAATGTTCCGGACCTCTGGAGGAGGGTATATGATGCCAACAATGGGTTTAGTGGCTGGGGTCTCTTCTGCAGGACCATCATTTGGCTGAAAGGATTTACAAATATCAAATGTTTTAAGATCTACAACTGTAGATAACAAACATGCACACTTTATAAAACTATTATAAAATAATACCAATGGTTTGTGCTTTCTATTTAATGCAAAGCAACTATTAAACAGAAAAATTACCCATACCAAAAATGCCAACAATTGTATTAATTGTAACTGTACTGAACAACTAAAAGTAAATGTGTTTTATGGTATTTTGTTAGTGTGTTTTTATTAGGATTTGTGTTTTAACATCAGCCTCAAGAATCTTCCATTTTAAAAGCTTCAAAACTGCATAAAACCCATTTTTTAACTGAGCTTCAGCAACCCATTACATACATCAAACTGCAGCCTATTTGAGTTAGCGCTCAAAAATTCAGTTTTATTTTGTAAGATAAGTCCCTTTGGCTGCTTCCGAATTCAACTCGCTCACAGATTTGAGAGGTTTTATAATAGAAAATCCCTTTATTTTCCCACAATGGGCAAATTGTGAAATTGTTTAATCACTGATACCATTGCAGGATTCAAATCCAGGTCCCTTGCACTGAAGTCAAATACTTATACCACAGCTAATGAAAATCTTAAGCTTTTTATTATTATGTTAGGAAAAGAATTGGTGTATTTCATTTTTTAGGAGTTTCACTATCTGAATAAAGCACCATTTTATATCTATATTATTTTCTTAAAGGATTGGAATGACAGTTCAGATATGGATTGGTTAGATTTCTTTTTCAAACAACAAAACTAGATATAATTGAAAATAGGTGCAGGCTCTTTCATTAAGAGACTGGTTTTGAATACAACACAAAGGATTTGAAATATGTGCCTAATTGTTATCTAATTGCTGTTTCATTCAGATAGCTAAATGGGGGAGAGCCGGCCTAGTGATTAGGGCATAGTGGGTCTCGCTGGGTCTCTGAGCAAGACCGTTAACCCCTGATTGCTCCCTGGGTGCTGCACGGTGGCAGCCCACTGCTCCCCAAAGGGGATGGGTTAAATGCATAGAGTTAATTTCTCCATTGTGAGATCAATAAAGTTAATAATTTCTCTATTTTATCAAACTACATAGTACTGGTTGGTGCATTTTCAGACTGGTAGTAGGTTTCCTTTGCTGTTGTATGCAATGCAATGGATTTTGTTTTAAAAAAATTAACCAGGCCAATTCAAATCTCTTCAATCTATTTGTACATCTCACGATTTTTAGCTTTTTTTTTTTTTTAGCTTTCTGTTACATGGAAGTTTCAGTACTGGGTGTAATACAATAATAATTTGTTTGGCACCTGTATCACTTTGTTCTAACTTATCTTTTATTGTGTATTTCTTTCTCAAAACTATAAAAAGAAATAAGATTATTTGTCTTAAGATCAAGTCATCTCATATTCAATAAATCAATTAATCCAAATCAACATATAATATGCTGATTAGGACTACAGAGACAAACACTTTACTTTTGTTTTCCAACTTAGCCTCCATGCTAACAAGCTCATTCATTTAGCATGTTTTACAAACCCCGGGTCTTTTTTAAAACGTAAAAAAAATACCCAGACGGATAGCAAAACATTGTAATATAAAAAAAGGGAGGTTATACTCCACACTGTTCTCCAGTCGATAACGTTAAAGCCAGCTAAGCTGCGCTGTTACCTTGTTGTTGGGCTCCGGCTGAACTATCTGAACGGGCCCGGGCGGCATGGCTGCGTCTTCACTGCTGAAAATGGAAAGCTACCTGAAAGGCGCCGAGCACAAGCACAATTACACATACAATAAAAGCTATTCAACAGCCAAAGTGATCTTTAAATGAAATCAATTTCAGTTAAAATTGTCAAACTCGTAATACTCACGGCGGTTCAACGTTGTCTTCTTCTTCTTCTTTAAATTTTAATGGCGGATGGCAAAAACGTTAGCTGAGCGTTACCGCCACCAACCGGTAAGGAGTGTGGACCACAGGGCAAAAAACAAAAACAATATCCTGTTATACAATTTAAACTGTTTCAAAAACTCAAATATAACCCGATATCCTCTGATTCCTTTTGCAGTAAATTAGCCATGTCAAATTTAATTTTCATATCACTAGGTTTCCTAATTAACTTGTTTCTCTGAATCAAAAATTTCCTTCAACTCAAAATAACATGTTCCACTGTCTCATCTTCCCCACTGTCTGATGTTTCCCCATTAAAAATAATGACCTATTCAATAATGTGTGTCCTATTCTAAGTCGTGAGTTTTTTTTCAATACAATTTTATGTTTCTCCAAAGAACATTACAGAGCAACCATATTGCACTATAGGTATTCTTAACAACCATTTTTTTTTTTTACAGATATTTTCAACAGGTGTAAATTTAGATGTTTACCAGTCAAGTAACTGTCCTCGTTTTGTGCAAAACAAGAAACAGTAAGGAAGAAAGACAAGAAAAAAAAAATAGTAGCTACATCTATTGAATAAAAGTAAACGCTAGGGGGAAACAGCTGTCCAAATAAGACGATTAAAAAGGACTCGAGTTTTGATTGCTTTCTTATTTTCTGATAATTGTATGGTGTCAATGTATTGTTTGAGTTCATGATTAAAAGCAGTAATGCTCGGTTTGTAGCCTCTATATTTACATTTATGTATAAAGAACTTGGTCATGATAATAAAAATAATTATCTCTTCTTTCCTCTCGGTTTAATGGATGCGTATTGCTTCCGGAGAAAGACGCAATGCATTGTGGATCTTGGAGTGTTGCTCTTGCCGTTGTCGGGGAAACACCATGTCAACATGTCAGCTGGTTTCTTATTAGTGTGTAAAACAGATGATATTTAAAAATAATAGTGAGATATGACTGAGCTGTTGGGCCGTGAGAACTGCATCAAGAACCTCCGGAAAGACCTGGTCGATATTCAGGTTGCGATTGAGGACGTGCTTTCCAGAACCGGACCGGTCCATTACACCTCCTGGAAGTTCCCAGACAAACTGGCCTGCAGTTTGGACATGGTGGCTTTGCTGGAGGAGTATGATTTTGTGAATGGAGAGGACGCATACAATCAGCACTCGCATGTTGTTTTGTTGGAGTTGGTGGTTGACAGGTATTACCATAAACACTTTAAACATTTAAAACATTTATTTGGTTTCAACCATGGGCGGTTGAAAGTGAAATTTCACCAGTTTATGCTAAATTCATTTCTAAAATTAGGCTTATCCAATCTGGAGTTGGATGAGTTGCATAAAGCTGGTGGTCACTCTACCCAGCAGCCATGGGAAGTTCAAGAGTGGGGCCAAGAGGGGCCAGTCCCCCTTACACTACAAGAAATTAAACTCTACATAGGTCATATTTTCTTAAAATAAGTGCATTGGTTCTTGGATTGAGGAGATAAGAGAGACATCTTGCCAATGGAACGAGACAATTTACACTTAAAATAAGAAAACACAATTGCATTGTCTTATTTCAAGTGCATATTATCTAATTATCTTATTTTAAGAGTAAAAATATGAATCCCATCGGCAAACTATCTCATTTATCTACTCAAATTAAGGATAAATACACTTAATTTAAGAAATTTGTTCTTATTTCTATATAATTTTTCCAGTGTAGAGCTGGTATTGGGCCCTGGTATAGCCCCTGTCAGGCTCGGACTGGGAACGATTTTCGCTCCTGGGGTTTTTCCATCTACACAGGCCCACTTATGGACCCCGGTTTTATGCAGTTGTACTAGCTTTGGTTATTAACACGGACGCGACAGTGACTGCTGCTGCTTAACGTCCACACTTGCATGAAGCCAGCCAGCCAGACACCCACTCACACATACAGCACTGTCATTGACTCATGTTTTCCGGTTCAAAAAATGTTCATAAACCGCCTGGATATGCAACATTTTACCCAATTTGAACCAAAGTCCATTGGTCTCTTAGGCAATAAATCTAGAGAAAAACATTTTTTTACCCATAGACGGCCATCCTAAACTGCCAGATTGGGAAACATCACAACCCGGCAACAATACAAAACCCCATCATGCACTACATCTTATTTTTGCAAAATATTTGAACATAAATTCGCCAAATATAAGAGGAATATCATAGTTTGGTTTAAAGAATGCATTTTATTTTTATTATAATTTAGTTTGTTGCAAGGTTTTAACAGTTTGAAGAAAAATAAAATTACACCATTTGCCAACAATTCTTGCGCTCCTTGAGTTAGTTACTGTCACAGGTAGATGCTGTGGTCGGAGAGTAAGTGTTGGGGCCGATATGATTTAAGGAGCGCCGGCCCTTGCACGCTGAAACCGTGCAAATGTCCACAGATTAACTGTCCGAGCCTGGCCTCTGTGCTGTTGATATAATAAAATAAAAATAATTCTACTGATGAATATGGATTGGAACAGACATGATGTGCATTTCCATCAGCTTTTTCTGATGCAAATTTTAAAGTAGGTTATTGCATCAGAAAATCTTGACATAGCTTGTACTGTAGTCCTCTCCTAGCCCCCACAGCTGAAAATAGCTTAATATAAAATGTGCTGTGTCTAATTCAGCAACACTTCTTCACTGAAGAGGAAGCAAGGCTTTTAACTCTTTAAAAAGGGGGGGAGATACAGGTAAAATCTCCCTTCTTTTAATAAAATAAACACAATATACTTGTCATGAGAGATATTTTTAAAGAAAAAAACAACATATTTTATTTCAACAATAAATAATGTGAATTTATGTTGATCAAACAAGAAAGCTGTACAAAAGGTAACTTTAAAAAAAATTCTTTAATATTTTTAAAAGTGTCTAACAGATAAAAAAGGATTCGACTGAAGATCAACAAGCTTCTGTGTTATTTAGAAAGACCTTTATCTGAATATTTGATCCTTCTAATGAACACAAATTAACAACTTGCACTGCTTGTAATTAGTCTCAATAATTGGGCATTTGTGTGTAGTTTTTCAGCTATACTGTGTGCTTTTCCATGTATGAATGACTGGCAGTGCTCTGTTAGATGGTAATTTAAGAATATTTTAAATTTCTATGACTTGTCTGGTGTGTTCAGATGAAGTTTTGACTAATTAGGTGACTTCTGAAGGCTGCTGGTTTTATTGTGGGAAATCGGATAAAGAATATTGAACACAAACAGATTTCTAAAAACTTCAAGTTTTTGTTTGGGAAAAGCATTTTCCTTCCATTTCACAATTATTTACTACTTTGTGATGCTGTACCACACTCAATCCTGATTAAATCTGTTATATTATTTTTGGCTCTAAAGTATCACCATGTAAAAATATTCAAGGGGTATTAAAACCTACGCAAGACATTTTCTGTGACAGAACGCTTAAAGATTTCATTTAACATGCTGCTTTCTCTTTTGCTTTATCTAGACTCCTGCTCCTCCTACAAAGCGTCGGGGCTTTTACAGAGTTACAGAAGGGCAGATACAGAAGAGATCAAAGCCAGCAGAAAGGATGCCTCTCAGTGGGCCTTGTGGTCAGGAACTATTGGGGTAACTTACTTCAGTATGCAAACACGAAGGTATGCATAAAGGTAAACATTTGACATTGTAATTTGACCTTTCATTGATTTTTAACTGTTTCTTTGTTTTATAGGAGAACTCCAAAGACATAAAACAGATCAAAACAAAGGCATTAGACACTAATCAGAAGAAGGTCTCCTCTCCATCTTCCCCAACCAGCTCAGGGTCTGATTTCTGCAGAAATTGTGCCTCTACCTTGTTTTGTCCAACCTCATTCAAATTCCCCCCTGAGAATCACACAAGTTCAGGTCCAGATCTCAATGCCTCATCCTGTTCTAAAATTCAACGGCACAGTGCTGGCTGTCAGACAGTGGAGTCCTTGCTTATACCCTGTGATGCATGTTATCGAGTCCAATCCCTTTTGAGAAACACAGGAGATGCTTTGATCGATCTTTTCCAGAGTGAGGGTCTTCCCTCTGCTCTACAGCCTCTCTTAGATGCCATGCAAGACACAGTGGATCCAGGAAAAATTACGGCGGATGATGTTGCCCTGTGGGCCAAAGAGCAACTCAGGGACATGCACCGCCTCGGAAAACATCTTCAGGATGTGCGGAGTACAGTGGAGCCTCTTAGAGAAGCCCTCAGAAAAGCTGAATCAGAGCGAGACGGATTTAGTTCTCAGCTGGTAAGCGTGAAGAAGGAGTTTAAAGAAGAGGTGGAAAAACACCAGGCCAATATAGTCCAGCTGGAGTTAGCTCTTCAGAAAGCACAGAGATCCTCAAAGGAAACCGAGCAAAGGCTGCAAGAAGAACATAAGCAACTAAAGAGAGGTAGTTAAAGGATTATTTTCACTTTCTCCAAAAATGGTTTAGATTTAATCATTTAACCTAAAACACATTTTTTTTTTCACCTTTAGCCTATTTTAGTCATTAATACTTGCAGAATCACAACAGGATGGTTTTTATCACCTGTTTATGTGGGGGGATCAGACCTTCACTGCAAAAAAGATCTAGAAATAAGTAAAAAAAAATTTAAATTAAGTGTATTTACCCTTAATTTGAGAAGGTAAATAAGATGATTTGCCAATAAAAATAGTATCTTTAAAATAAGATAATTAGAAAATATGAACTTGAAATAAGACAATGCAATAGTTTTTTCTTATTTAAAATGTAAATTGCCTTGTTCCATTGGCAAAGTGTCTCACTTTCATCCTCAATTCGAGAAAAAACGCACTTATTTTAAGAAAATAATGACTTACTTAGATTTCCATTGCAGTGTTTGTTTACCCATCTTATCAGGGTTTTTTTTTTCAATTCGATCACTAGAAGCTACTTTTAATCACTGGGTTCCTTGTAAATATGTGCCAAAAAACAAATTTTACATTCATAACAGAAAAATTACCACTCCCACTGTTACAATACCTAAAAAAAGGTGGCCATCTACTTCAGGAGACAGAAAAGAGTCCATGTTCTGCTTACCGTCAATGGAGTATTTGTGTTGAGTGAAATACCTCAAGTTTCTGTGGGTACACACACACACACAGGACCCCACCTGGATCACAACTACAGCTCTACTGGTTCAAAGAGTTTGCAAAGAGTTCACCTTTGTGTTGCTGCATAGCCGCCTGTAGGAGAAACAACTGAGTCAGTCTGTTTGCATTGCATCACCATGTGATTGGCTGCTTGCTGTGCTCAGTCGCCACAGCTGTTAAAAGAATAACATCAAGGAGGGGTTATCTAGTAGTTGCTTTGCACCTTTTATTGAGTTCCCCATGGGCAAAAGCCGTAATGGATTTTTATTTTACTTTTTGTTGTTATTGTTACTGTAGGAATAGTAAAAATGAAAATGCCTACAAGTATCCTTTTTTGCTTTCTTTTTATGATTTAGTGAAAATAAGGGCAAACACACTTTCCAACAATTAGAACTAGGTCTGTAAAGCTTCAAATCTAAGCATATTTATTGATTAGAACTATTCAGTCAAAGTCCAGATCTTAATTCAACCGAGAAGCTAAAAAGAAAAAAGAAACATCTCATTGCTCTATCACCCCACTCATTTATGGTCACTTGGTTCGTCACCAAAAATCCCAGTGTGATGCATTGAAAAATGTGGCTTTAGTGGTATAAAAAGAAAGATGGAAATATAAAACAGGGGATGTGAATACTTTTGCAGGGACCATAGCATTAAGTTGATTATTTTTATGATTTTTCTTTTATGTATTTGTGATAGAAATGTTGTCCTTGGAGGAGAACAATACCAGACTCAAGGAGAAGGTGGAACTCCAGCTAAACATGTGGCAAGCACTGAGTAAAGCACACACTGAACCTCTTTCAACCAGCTCTTCTAATGTTTCTCTGTAAGAAGGAATCATTTCCAAACTCTTTCCAAACAGAAGACGAAAAGGAGATGCAAAGAGATGAAGAGGCGTACAGTAAACTCCAGCAAAGGATCCTGGAGCTTGAAACTCATCTCAGTGACACTAAACTTCTCCTCGACAAGGAGAAGGCCAAGTATCAGAGCGCTTGTTGTCGACAGGAGGTCAGCTTTGCAGTTAAAACGACAATTTTACCTGATATAAACAATTATTATTTGATGGTTGTGGATCTAGTCAATGCAGGCAAAGCAGCAGTCCTTATCAGAAAGAGTTGATGCTCTGGATGAAGAGTGTGACGAGCTACAGAAGCAATTGGAAGAGAAGGAAGATGCTCAGAGCAGTTTAAACAAACGGCTGCAAGATATTTATAAGTTGAAGGAGCAACAAGAGGCTCAGCTCTCTCAACAGCAGGTAAACGAGAGCGCCTGCACATCCATGACTCAAAGAATACAATCAATGTTCACCTGTTTGTTTTCTTCCATCAGGATATCTATAGAGAGCTCCAAAGAGAGAAGCAAACACTACAGACACATGCAGATGAGCTGGAAAAACGTGTGGCACAATTAACAGAGCATGTGAATACACTGAGGGAGCGGGAGAGACTTCTGGTGCTTTTTCCAGAGCTAAATGACTGGGCTCAAACCCAACCGCAAAGTAAGAAATTCCCACTTTCATTTTAAGTCATGCACATATTAGTTTCTGATAAAGATGTCAGGAAAGGTCTTAGAACATACGCAACTTTTAATTAGCTAACCACAAATAAATAACATTGAGAAATGCAGCCATTCATTGAAGCACACGATAAATAAATAAATAAATAAATAAATAAAAGCCCTTATAGTTCCTTTTAAAATAAAATGTATTTTCTTTTTTCAATCCATATTCCCCTTTTTGTTGATCAGTTACCTTCCACGAGTTATTATTTCTTTAGAGGATCATTCTTCCTGCCAAATATCTCCTGGGCTGGTCAACAAACATGTACATATAAACATATGTCCATGACAGAAATTGCACAGAAAACTCTATTTCGGGGTTGAAATTTTAAATTTTATCTAAAAAGTTAAACTCTTTTTATTTATTGCATGTTCTTCCTTTTCCTTTTTGCAAGGTACCGGAAACTTGATTTTAGATATGGAGCAACAACAGCAGGCAAACAGCCTTCGTATAAAACTTCTGGAACAGGAAAATGCTACTCTCCAAAAAAGTCTTGAGAAACTACGACAAAGACAAATATTTAACTCCACCAGGGTAAGAATATGGGACAATAACTTAAGATATGATTTAGTGGGACGAAAAGTGATATTTGATGTAACCTAGACTCCACTTGCAATTGGATCATAGAAATCTGTCCAAAAAAGTAAAAAAAAAAAAAAGAAAAAAAAAGATCCACTGGACTTTGTTTTCAAGTTTGAAGACGTTTGGCTCCCATCCAGGAATATTTTTCTATTCAAAATGTCAGAAATGCTTTATAGAGTGGGCCAAAATCAAAGCCTTGTTTTGGCTTAGAAAACATGCAAATTCTAAGTCTAAATTTTTTACTTTTTTGGAATGACCATGACCTGGATGTCTGAATCTTCACCAGCATCATGGAAATCTGTTTTTGTGCCTTAACAGGTGGATCCACCTCGACACACAAAGTGAAGACCAAAGCGGATCAGCTGTTTGCCTGGAAAGTTCAAGCCCAACCCAGAGACCAGACTGGTTCTTTATCATTTGGAAGAAGTTTAGCAAACAAAAGCACTGTGATGTTAATGGTAAAATAAGTAAAATAAAGTTTGAGAGGCTTTCACGGATCTAACTGATGGTGGGGAGCACTGAGATTAATATACTGTAGATGTAACAAATAATTGAGGAAAAAACAAAAGGTGGCTCTGATCCCTCCCACTGGATTAGCTTGGAGGTCACCTTGATGGTGTTAATGGTTGTTAGGGGGTTGTGACTCCCTCATCAGAGTGGTTTCATTCACATGCCTGATTGAAACTCAGAAAACCCTGCGGGGTCTGGGAGACCCCTCTGGGACCATGGAAGCTACAGCCGGGTCCAGGAGAGCCCTCTTATACGTGGTTTGGGGGGAACCCATGCGGGGTCAGGGACACCCCTCTAAGAATGCATGAAGTTTAATCAATTCAGACTAACATACCTTATAGGCAAAATAAGCATTTTGAACATTAGTTATGTTAAATGCATATTAAGCAGTTATAAACAGTCTAGATATTAATACATCTATAAATGATTTATTAACCATTAGATATGGACTGTAATACACATACAAGCATTTGACCAAAGAGAAAGCAATGGAGGAAGAATTTAAGGGAATTAAGAAAACATTAAAATAACTACCAGAGACACTAAATACACTAGAAGAAAGGCCTGATCAACAATGGTATTTCTAAACAAAAGATTTTAAAAAATAGGCTTGTCAAAGCAAATTGCGGCGCTAAATGGGGACGATGAAACAAAGAACAAGAAAATCAAGACCTCAGAGAGCCACAAAGATTTTAAACATATTCTAGGAGCAATAACTTTATTATCACTGGATTAGATAATAAACCACAAAGCTACTAAGAGCCGTGGCTTCTGAAGGAAAGTCGACAGAAAAAGATCGGTAGAACAACAGGTTATCACATTTATGAAAATGAAAGGAATGGAGATAAGAACTCAGGACACTGAAGCCTGCCATCCATTAATTACCACAGTGGTGTCAGACTCCACTCATCTTATCAAGTGAGTCTAATCTGAACTCTTGATGAGATGACTGGAGTCTGGTGTGCTATTGCTTGGTTAGAAAGCAAACCTGCAGCCACACGGCCCTTTCTGGAACCACTTTGACACCCCTGCATTACCACGAAGTCAACAACTCAGTCACCCTATTGGGGTCTGTAAGCAGAAAACTAAAAAATACTGTATAAAAAACAAGGAAGGAAACTGAAAGGCACAAATGTGTACCTACATGTTAACTTGACAAAGAAAAATGCAGACATTTTACAAAAAGTTTACTTCTTGAAAAGAAAACTTATAACTGTAAATTAGTTAAACTAAATCTGACTCCTGAAGAGGCGAATGTGTTGTGTATTTGAGGTGATCCATTGCTGGAAAGTTGCCTACGCAGGGGGGAAACAGGTGCCGCAATAACCTGCGACACAAACAACTACTGACTCCATACAATACAACTTGTTTCCAGATAATGGAGATGATCTCACCAACCAAGTGACACATACTTGATAAGGGAAAGTATAACAAGCACATGTATCTATAATTTTTCTTTTTCTAAAGTTCAAATTTCAACCACCATTGTTTCTTTAAACAATTTTTTTGTGACTGCTGTTATAAGTTCATCCCACTCCAAAAAAAAGGGGAGGAAATTAATAATATTAACTGCAATGATTATACAGAAACCGAAGATAGACCATTACATCTCCCAGCTGATATTTTGCCTGATATAATTTTTTTGAATCGGTATTGGCCAATTAGGGCATGCGTCGGCTGATTTATAACTGCATTCAGCAGCCAAGTCTTGTAAATATGTGGAGTTCATGCACCTCCCTTCCCTATAAATTGTTAATGTTTTTGTTTGATTTGCCAATAAATGTTTTTGTATCGTTTGAATCTAGACAACATTTGTTCTCATTGTCTTACTTTTATCATGATGGAGAACATAATCGGCTCCAAGAATAGACCCTCTCCTATTACTTTTGATTCAGTTTGCAATACTAATTGCTAGGTAACAGAATTCCACTATTGACTGCAAAAGACTAAACAAAAAAAAACAAAAAAAATACTGTGTGTCTTTTCTGTTAACATAATTTTGCATCATACATATTTGTGCTTTGTAACTGGGAATTTAAAACTGCAGAAGGAAACAAAACTGAAGTTTTTTGTTTTCTAAGTTTTACAATTACCGTACAAAAAAACTCTTTAAATTGTGGAGCACAAACTGTGTTCTATGAGTCGCAGATCTAATCTTACATTTGCACCTTTGCTTTAGTTGATCCAAAATGTTTGTAAAACTATTTGCGCATTGTAATTTTTGAGCTACAACACAACAAATTCTTAAATACAGGTACGCAAATTGTGCAGAGTCACATAAAAATCGTATGTCTTCTCAGTTCGGCTTCAGTTTCTCTGAAACAAAGGGTACAAAATTCAATTAATTTTATTTCTTTAGCGCCAATTAACAACACATGTCATCTCAAGGCACTTACAGTTCATGAGATCATTCAGTCAAATTGATTCAAAGTTTTCTATCTAAGAAATTGACTAGAAGGCAATTCCTCACACTAAGCATGCTTGTAGCGACAGTAGAGAAGAAAAACTCCCTTTTAACAGAATGAAACCTCCAGCAGAACCAGGCTAAGTGTGATTGGCTTTCTGCCAAGGCCGACTGGAGTTCAAGGAGATAGATGCAGGTGTACAGAAAGAAGCAGAGATACAAAGGGAAAGTGTCAACCAGCTCCACAGGCGGCCCCGTCCAGGAAACACACAGCAAGGCAGATGACTTCCGAGCCATCTCCCATGTCAGTGGATGAAAGAGAGCACATCCAGCCAGTCACAGTCAGAGAAACATGACTACACTGAAAAACAGGCAGAGCCCAAACATCTGTAAACAAAGGTGTTGATGGCAGCAGCACAGGTGATATTTCTCTCCAGGACGGTGTCACAGCCAAACAGGAACAGACCAGATTGAAAACAAATGTAAACAGTTGTATAAATATCCTCCCACATTACTTTTGTAGTGTCATACATTTTTTCTTTATCACAGCTACAATCGCCAAATTCAACTGAACAAATATGCTGCTGTACCACAAATTCACCTTCACTAGTTACACCTTCACGTATTTTCCTACTAAATGATTTGTGACTTGTGGGTAGTTCATGTAGTTGTACAGCAGAGGGCGCTGCCTGTTCCCCATTCGACTGTAGAAAAAAAATCTATTACTAAACTTCTATTTTCAGTTTTCTCTGCAACTTCAAATTCGCAGTTAAAATGCACAAATACTTGTTATTCCTAATTACCATTGTACCCTTTATCTCTGTAAACAACTCTTCAAACCACAGAAGTGAACACAGAGAGCAAGGCCGCAAAAAGTCAGAGATACAAATCAATTATTTTTTTAATGCGAGTTAGATAGAAAAAAAAAATAAAAAAAAATCAAACCTTAGAAATGTAAATGCATTTAAGCAGATTAATTTTTGACAATGCATTGTTTTAATTCTCCTAAGCTGGAACAGCCATGGCTGACACAGCTCAGCATTCAGGTCATATGATAGGTGTCTCTAACGAACCTGCATGTGTGTGAAAGAATGGCCTTTAAAGAGCATGAGTCACGTGGTTCTGAGTACATAGCAGCTCACTCAACCTTGAGTCTTTCACACAAAGATGTGAGGCGCAGGTGTCTATGTCACTGCTTGTGTGCTGCCTGAACAGAGGAGTGCTAGTTTCCATGGAAGTGTGTTTCCATCATCCTCAGCATTTGTTTCCTGCATTCCAAGTCCCTCTCCTTTAATCTTTAACCATTTTTTTTCAGAAAGAAGTCAACTGTACAGATAACAGCAACAGTAGCAGCAATACCCAGTGCAATAATCCTGTTAAATAAGAGACTTCAGCTGTTTGATAAGTATATGTGGACACACTGTATAAACTGTATATACCCCATGCACCTTTTCCTCTTTTTGGCACCTTTTCTTTTATATTTAGCCAACGCGACAAGCAAATTTCTCCACTGTGAGATCAATAAAATCTATCTTATATTAACAAATTATGCAAAAAAACACATTGACTTTCTATTTTGTTTGTATATTTTGAGGAATTTGAATCACATTGAGCTTTATTGTTTTACCATCCACTGTATATACTTCATACACCTTTTCCTCCATTGTGCACTGTTTGTTTAGAGAGCCAATGTCACAGGTGAATTTCGCCATCGTGAGATCAATAAAGTTCTATTCTACTCTGTCTCTCTTTAGGAATACCGAAACCACAGAAACTACTGAGGTACATTTAAGGAAAGTTGATTTCTGGTCAAAATTTGCATTGGTAGAAATTTCTGACGTATGAGTGGAAACAAAATGATCTGCTCAAATAATTGTCATAAACACCAGGAACAGTGTCCAAATCCATTAAACACTTTTTACTATACATTCTGTTTTGATTTTCTGTTGAAACAGTGCATAGTTTTAAAATGTGAGTAAAAATGTAACGTTTTACTTTGCAAATAAAAAAATGCAAAATGTGGCATGCTTTGCACTCGGCCCCCTGCACTCTGATATCCCTAAACAAAATCAAGGGACTCAGTGAATAAATAAAGTTAGTCTGTTTGTAATTTCATCCTTGCTGTTGCGGTAGGGTGACCACATTTGGGTTTCTGAAAAGGAGGACATTTTTTTTTGGCAGGGGGGGTCAACTGCTGGGCTGCTGACTGGACCGGACCCCTGGACCTCAGCAGAGAGCCATGAGCCAGGGGCCGGTAAGGCAGGCTGGGGGAAGCACATCTCTGACGGCTCTGTTCGAGTGCCCGGTATGTTTCAACTATGTGCTACACTGTTGTCGACCAAAATCCCGGACAATTTTGAAATTCCCCCCCGGACATTTTTTTAGGTCTGAAAAGTAGGACATGTCTGGGTAAAAGAAGACGCCTGGTCAACCTATGTTGAGGGAAGTTCTAAGATGGTTGTTTGAGGACATGAGTAAACAGTAGTGTTGCGGCCATGCCATTTTTTTTTCACCCGATACCAGGCTGTGCAGTATCGTCCGATATCGATACCATACTGAAACCATCTGTTTGAAATTGTGTGGTGTGTGTATATATGAAGGACTGCATACTACTTAGATGTAAAATAATTGACATCATGGCTTTTTCAAGCTGCTGCCTACCTTTGTGAAGCAGGAAAAAGACTAATACAAAGTGAATCTGGTAAAACTTTTTATTGCCTACCTGGAATGGGTGACAATAGTTGAATAAACTTTTGGCTCTCAAAATGGTATTGGTGCCCTATTTGTCGGTACACACCGATACCGATACCACCATTTTAGATAATGGTATTGGTATCGGTGCAACACTAGTAAACAGAGGTGTAAGAAGTGGAGGAGTTTAAAAAAGTGCCTGGATGTAAAAATGAAACACAAATCTTTGAATATCTAAGGGTTTGTTTCTTTATCTGAAATTAGAAAACTATATAGACACTGCTGCCCACCTATAGTTACTGCTTTAACTGAACAAACAGGTAAAAAGGCCAACGACGACTCTGGAGGAGGTGCAGATGAAAATCTGTCAAGAAAAATTGTCAAGTGTTGCACTCTGCTTTTTTTGTAGAGAGGTAGGAAGATGGTTAATGTTAAAAATAAGCAAATAAGATATATGAAGTCCAGTTTCCAGGCAGGGGAAGGCAAAAGAAGTACATAATTCTGAACTCGGAATACCCATGGTGAAAAATGGGGTAAGCATCTAGGCGACCAACCCTCAAAGCAACTTGCTGTGTCAGAATGAACCAGTAAAAGTCCAGACTTAAATCTGATTAGGGCTGTTTACAGAAATATACATCAAATTTGGCAAAGAAGAGACAGAGTAGTCACGTATTTAGACAGAAATATTACCACTAAAAACTTGCTGATTTGCTTTGATCTGCTGCTTTATACGGGCTGCACAGTGGAGCAGTGGGTAGCACAGCTGCTTTGCAGCAAGAACATTCTTGGTTTGATTCCCAGCCCGGGATCTTTCTGCATGGAGTTTGCATGATCTCGCTGTGCATGAGTGGGTTCTCTCTGGGTACCTCAGCTTCCTCCCACGGTCCAAAAACATGACTGTTAGGTTAATTGGCTTCTCTAAATTCTCCTTAGGTGTGAGTGTGTGTGTGAATGGCTGTTTGTCCTGTTTGTCTCTGTGTTGCCCTGCGATGGACTGGAGACCCCGCCTCTTGCATATTGAAAGCTGGTGATAGGCACCAGCACCCCTCATGACCCCAGCAGGGATAATGGTGACTAAAAAATGGATGGATGGACGCTACTCTATACAATTTCTGAGAAGAGTTTTACTTTACGGATTGGGGATGATGAGCAACAGAAAAACTTTGAAATAAATATTTATACAAGGTTCCTTACCTCCTTCTCATTATTTTTTTTTTGGTGTTGATTTTGTAAATAATCAAAGTTGCTTAACTCCGGTTCTTATTTCTTCCTCATGACTTGAAAGAGAAGAACCTGGAACACAGAGCAACTCCAATGATGGAAACTATTGGGATCAAGCCATGTGATGCCAGCTCCTTTTAAAACAAACCAATAATATTCCAGTGGGATTTTGGTGCTGCTTCAAAACATTTATTATTTTTTGTCTTTTTGAATATTACACAAAGTAATGTTATAACACAGGGATCTTAGACTTTGGTGTGCTAATGCAGAGTACAATAACGTTTAGAAGTAAGAAAGGCCTGATCGCTCATATTTGTGCACCCTAGCACAAAAAGAGAGATCAAGTTGTGAGAATGTTAAGCCTAAAAAAATCAGCATCACAGTATAAATATAAAGTCACCAACCCAGACACCAAAAGCATTGCTATGAAACAAATTAACTGGACAAATCTGTGTAAAGTTGTATAAAATTCTTGCAGACCTTACACCAAAATGCTTTCTACAGTACAATCTACATTTGAATTAACTCATTTTTTTTTTAAATGAAGGATA